TACTGCGCAGACAGTCGCGTACAAAGTGTTTATAAAACTGAAGACACATCTAGTGAACTTGATTCAGTGGCTATTAAATTAAGACGTATTTGTAACACGATGTAAGATATGCATACAGTATCAGGATGACACATTTACAAATATCTTTAAAAACAAATCTTATTATTTTACTTCTTACTAAATAAATACGAAGGTTTGTATTGACTTATGTTTGTTAGAAGGTACTCCATGAGTGAGTGCCAAGTCTCAGAAGAAGATGTCATGGACAGAGCGAAGTGGAAGAGACGGATTGGGAAAGCTGACCCCACCACCTTGTGGAATGCAAGCTAGGGAGAGAGAGAGATAGAGAAGGTACCTCCAGAACAGCTGCATGGATCTTGCTCAAATTTGTCATAGATGTAGAACATAGTCTGGAGGAGCACATAGGCGACTAGTTAAGTTTTTTTTTAATTCCGCGAGGACGGAGTCGCGAGAGACAGCTAGTAAGTAATTTAAGGCTGTTATATCATAAAATGTTTACAATTTGAAATTACGATATTAAAAAAATTAAGTCAAAGAACTGATTGAGGAACCTATGTTACTATTCTTACTTATCTTATTAATATTATAAATGCAAATGTTTAGATGGATGATTTAAAAAAACCTAATAAGTAGCCTATTACTAATTAGTTTATTTTCAATTCCGCGCGGACGGTGTCGCGGGCGATAGCTAGTTTTACATAAAACAGTTATTAATGTCACCCGTGTGTACTTAAAACACTGGACATGGGTTTGTATATAATATTTGATAGCCTACACTATATCATTATTTCACAATATTTTATTGGCCTTAAACGTGTGTTCAACTAGTAAATAAATAAAAGATTGCTTCTGATTTAGACGAAACATTCCGATTTGCAAACAGTAACAATACGTGCCAAGTGATTGCAAATCTACATCTCTTCACCCCACACGTCTTCCTTACACTCTTATAGAATATATATCCGCCATTTTGTACGTTACAAATGCACCTTACCAAGGGCACTCACATTACACTCGAAAACGTGAACTGAATGAGTTAAACCCAAGGTTAATTTCACTAGATTCGAGTGTTGAATATAAAACTCGATTGAGCATACCAATTGGCAAATGGTAGTGGATTTAAGTTGATTGAACTTTTTTTTCTTAATAACTATTATGTAACACTTTTTTAGGTTATAATTTTGCGTTTAAGAAAAATGAAAGTAGGTTTACATGTGCGTATAGTTGTATTAATAACAAATAGAATATTTGAATTTAATTGAAGTTACTAGCGTGGATTTCCACGGTCCTAAGACCTGTGCTAAAATCTGTTACTTCAATTAACGTTACGACAGTATAACCTACCCTAAATTAAATCATAGACGAACTTAAATTTGCGCTCGAAGCTCGTAAATTCCAAAACAGTTTTGGTAAAATATTTTTTTCTCATACATAACCTTACCTGCCATTATTTTAACATACCACAACTTCCATAAAATAAATAAAAAAAGACTAGTAAGGAGTTTATTGTCCTTTTGTTTATTAATTTAGGTTTTCAATAAAATCGAATGATACATGATGTTCCAAAAATTAAAACAATAATTTTTATCACTAAAATTTATAAAATAAGAGTGAAATATGAAGGAATTTGAACAGCTCATTTACTTAACATTATATAAAGCACATACGCACAAGAAAACGAAGCCCCATAGTAACGTTGTTACTTCCGTGTGTTAAATCCTTCCGGTATTATAACATATTATATGAACTGGCTATGTCACCAATCAATTGTGAAATTAGTTACTTTATAATCTGACCAGGTATAAACTGCCAGACAAATATCGTCTAGTAAAATAAACTAATCATTTACAATTCCACGATAAATTTCTATTTTGTAAATTTTTTCATATTTTCTTTACTTACAGCTATTATAATTAGCTGTCGTCCGCGACTTCGTCTGCTTTTATATTTAAAAAAAAACTGACCTAGTGGCCTATGGCCAATCGATTTTCTTAATTTCGTTTCTTGACATTTCGCCCTCATGTTAATTATTGAAAAATTTATATCACGGGTTAGCACTTGACTTGTAATCTACACATCCTGGGTTCAAATCCCTACATGTACCAATGTATTTTTTGAATAGACATTCATCTGACGCTCAACGGCGAAGGAAAACATCTGCGAAGAAATTCAAAGATATGTGTGAAGTCAACCCGCACTGGCTCAGCACGGTCGACTGTAGCTTAGTCACCCCTTATTTAAGTTAGGTTCCGAGGCCGAGTGGGGACGTATAGTGAGCTGATGATGATTATGGTATTTATACTTACTGCATTATTATGATATTTTGTGATTTATCTAATATTTCATACATTAGATTTCTTTATTATCATAAACCGCACATTAGTTATAGCTCTAGAAAGTTACGAGGCAGTTATGAAGAGTATATACCCTTACCGTCAGTTTGTACGGCAACTTTTTACGAAAACATTGTCATCTCTGTCACTCTCAATGAAAAAAAGGAAGATAACAATATTGTATTATACAACAATATTTAACAGTGGTAGAGCCCGCTTTAACATCTTCGCACGAATTGTCCCGGCTCGCCCGGTGAAATACCACGACCACGCAGAAGACAGGCGTCAAATGGAAGCAATTCCGCGTTTCGTCTGATGAGTGTACGTCCCGGATGCCTAATTTAGTCCCCTTTCCTTTCCTACACTTTTTCTTATGAGGATGGGAAGTGGACTTTCCGGATGAGAGGATGCATGGAAATATTTTCTTTCTGTGCATCCTCTCCTCCGTCGATTAAAGGTAGGCAACGCATATGCAATTGCGTATGTCTATGGGCAACAGTCACTTCGCTATTTCAGCGATTTCATGTGATCGCTCGCTCGTTTACCACCTTATGATATAAAAAAAAATTGATGGCAATATATTTTGTATGAATATATAATAGTACTCATAGTAAAAACAGAATAATAATGGAATTGTGCAGTAAAAAACAAACATAACGTGTAATATGTTCTGTTTTGGATTATTGTAATTCTATTTACAAAAAGCATTGTTTTTTATATGTATATACGTCAAAAATAGTTTTTATATTTGTATTATCTTACAGATATTATAAATGCAAATATTAAAATAAGAATAAAATTATTACGAAGCCATAAATTCTTTTTTAATTCAAAATAAAACGGGCAGTAATTAAAGAATGTTCTAGAATATTAACAACATAAAATATGAATGTATTATTAAAAGTGTGATTCGTCCAGATTGTCATTTTTTTAAGACATATTAGTTGTCTCTGTATTTTCAAAGAGAACGTAAGAGATGACGATATATGTCAATGCAAGTCAATAAAGTGATGTCAAGGGTAACATTATTCAATCAACCCATAGATTTTAAATTCTTTATTATAATATTGTCAATACTTCGTCAAGATCATAAAATTAGACTTTATTGCCTAACTCCCTAAAAATTTAATAAACCCAATGGTACTAAATCTTGCTATCTTACTTATAAATGCGAGTGGATAGATGGATGGATGGAAGATATCTCCATAACGGCTCCATGGATCTCGCTGGAATTTGACATTAATGTTGAACATAGTCTGGAAGAACACATAAGGCTGCTAATTACGTTTTACTTTAATACGCGCGAAGGGAGTCGCGGGTGGCAGCTAGTTTCTAATATTCCAAAATAGTCAATTTTTGTGAATATTCAAGTTAATCTACTCGTATATATATATAAAAGAAAGTCGTGTTAGTTACACTATTTATAACTCAAGAACGGCTTTACCGATATAGCTGAAAATTGGTGAGGAGGTAGCTTAGAGCCAGGAGACAGACATAGGATACTATTTATTCTTTTTTTTTATTTTTTTCTTACTAATATTATAAATGCGAATGTTTAAATGGATGTGATATGGTTGGATGGGTGTTTGAAGATATCTCTAGAACAGCTGAACGGATCTCGATTAAATTTGACATACGTATATTACATAGTCTGAAAGAACACATAGGCTACACTAATTAAGTTTTTTTATATATCCACGCGGACGGAGTCGCGGGCTACTGCTAGTATAGCATAAAAAAACACCATCAACTACCCACTATCAGGTCTATACCGCGGGAGGTTGTAGACGACTTTGGAAATCAGTGTCTTATATTTGCATATATTTCAGTCAATCGTGGCTACCTTCCAAACGCATGACAATCATTTGACGTCAATTATACATATGTCATTCGAGCACGATTCTTTAACAGTGAATGTGTATTTAATTGTTTATTACGATAAATAATTATTAATACTAAATAGAAAATGTTTTGAAATGTTAAAAAGTGCTGATTAAAATGTTGTTTTTTTTTATAAATCAATGTAAACGATAAGTTTTGTGACCTACTTTTAAAGGTATATTTCTTTTCACACGAGTAATTTTAATGTAAGCAAATTATTGGATGACTATGTTTTTATAATCTATATTTTAATCGTCGTGTTTGACGTTTCTGTGTACTTTAATTACTTCTTAATAATAAATTAGTTATTAATTTCTATATTTAATACTAATACAAAGAGATTTATCAAGAAAAATTGTATTTCGTGGTGTTATTATGTGTGAAAGAGAAACTAGTGTACATTTTGAGGTTATTTTTACAATATTTTAGAGCATAAATCAACATAATATACTTTAGCGTTAGACTATTTTTATGTTTTAGTTTTTACGAGATTACCTAAAGTTTTACGTGTTTTTTTTTATTTAATTAACTACAATTTATATTTAATAATTCAAACATAATTTTAGTAAAAACAAATGCATATTCTGATATTTATCTGTGAAGAATTTTAAAATATGAATAAAATATATTTTTTTGCTAATTATAAAAGAAGACAATTATAATGTTTACGTAATTCTGAATATGATGAAATGCACTGATTCTTTTGAACTTCGTTATATTTAATCTGTATGCATATTAAAATTTGTTTTTTTTTTTTGTTTACAGATTATTTTCGGGAATTCTATTTTGAGATAAGAAGACTCCATTGTAAAGGTAATTATTATAATAAATATTTTAACTTAATTGTGTTGAATTTATCAATGCATGTTATTTAATACTAGCTGTCGCCCTTGGCTCTATTCCTGCAGAATTAAAAAAAAACATAATTAGTAACCTATGTGTTCTTCCAGATTATTTTCTAAGTTCTAAGTGCCAAATTTCATCGAGATCCACTGAGCCGTTCTGGAGGCCTTCAAACAAACATACATCCATCCATCTAAATTCCATAAAACCTGTAAATGAAAAATGAATAAAATGAATGAATATTTTAACAAATTAATTTAATTTTTAGATTTATTAAGAACATGCCTCAATGAGCTATACTAAAATGTCATCAAAACTCTTTGTACTAAAATAAATTGATTTTTATTTGTATGGAGATGATGTCCTATGTTAAATACGTTAACTGTATCTTTAAACAAATAAAACTATTGGATGTCAATTCCACATCGTATTATAAACCTTATGTTGTTAAGTGTAAAGTTTATAATTACAATTACGATGTTTTCAAGCAAATACCAAACAAATCAATCGTCAAATATCTAGTGCGTGTAACGGAACTGTGAAGTCCGTTACTCTATGGTTGAGTTTGAACATCCTTTCTGTCAATAAATTATTTCTTTCTATAATACGTACTTTAAAAGAAAACATTGACTTTTTGAATGATTTCGTTTGAAATATACAAACATAAATACTTTTAGACATTATTCGTTAGAATCATTCGGCGCGAATGACTTTCGTTACAAAGTCAAGTGTCAGAATGATTAGTGACAGGATATAAACGTTGATATTTTAGTAAGGCTAGTGTTGTGCCGATACACCGGCACATTGTCAGATTTCCTTCCGAACAATACGCACGAAAACAGTCTTGTCAATTGATTAAAAACATTATATACTTTATCTCTCTTAACTCTACATGTAAAAATGTACAGTCAGCTGCATTAATATTTATACATTTATTAATTCAGAAACTTGTATACGTCTTCGATTCCAAAAATATATACGCTCGTATCCGTCCATATACTTCTAACGATGAATACATAACAAGAGTCTAAAGTATTGTTGCAAACACATTTGCGCAGCTCACTGTACATTCGTCATATTTATTAATCTCTTAAACTGCCAATCCTTGACTTTTTTAACGCTTAATATACACTGGACAATACAATGTAATAATTACAAACACGCGATTATTTTCGGTTACACGCAAAGAAACTAGTTAAAAAAAACAGTAATGGCATTTACAGAATATTACGAAGGCTTAAGACAATTACTATTCCAATTTGGCATAGCCTTGGCATACTCGTCATTACCTCCACATCCATATTTACCCAAATAATCCATCTATAGTTCGCAATGTATATCTATATCTACATACTTACATATAAAGAAGAAAGATTTGTATTTTTGTGTGTATCGAAAAAACTCAAAAACTACTGGACCGATTTCAAAAATTATTTTGCTATTAGATAGCTACATTAAAACTGAGTAACATAGACTATATTTATTACTGTTTTTTTTTAATTCCGCGCGAAGAAAATCGCGGGCAAAACCTTATAATATAGCAACCCTAAAAGAATGGTCTATGATATCTCTATTGAAGAAATTATTAGCTCTATTATAAAAATAATTTATCATATTTCTCGATCAAAATATTCATCAAATATAAAAGCGTTAAACAAAACTTCTGAGGGACTCGGAGCCTACCCAAAGTTAGTAGTAACTAGGCCATATTCAATGCTGGCCCAGTGCGGCTTGTCTTCACACATATCTTTGAATTTTTCCCAGATATGTATAGGCATCACGACGTTTTTCTTTCAATTCATTGCAGAGGTATTATGATTTAACTATATCTTAGTATAGATTTCCACTGTGGTTATTAAAAACCGAACATCAAATATCTATGTGCCATCTTTTATTCAGCAATCAATTGCTTTAATAGATAACACAAGCACATTGCGTACTAACAAAATAATACATGCCATAAAGAGGTTTCGTTGCTTCATATTAAGTTTTAAATATATAAAAATAGGCACTGTCCGTCCATTAAATTATGTAATAGTACATAAGATACATAAAGTGACTTGCTGAATATTTAATGCCACATTATATGATAACGTAATAATTTATCAGATGCAATTTATATGTTGTAAGATATACTAGAGTATGCCCCTGACTTACTTCATGATAAAGACAGGGATGACGATATGTTTTATATAGAAATGCTAGTCAGACATCAACGGTTAGTGACACTAGATATTGCTTTGTCATTTCATAGTGTTTGGAGCGTCAGTGGCGTAGGGGTTAAGCATTTATTTACAATCTACAGATCCTGGGTTCGAATCCCGCAATGTACCAATGTGTTTTTCGATTTAAATCTGTACATTTATCCGATGTTCTTACAGTGAAGGTAAACATCGTGATGCAACCTGCATATATCTAAAAAGAGATTCAAAGATATGTGTGAAATCAACCCGCAGTAGGCCTAAGTTGATTATGGCCTAGTCACCCCTAACTTAGGTTAGGCTCATAGCCCATCAGTGGGGACGTATAGTGAACTGATGATGATAGTGTTTTAAAACTATAATTATGATTTATTATAAAGAACGTAACAATTTTTTTATTCTTTAACGTAATTTTATTCGTTCTTTAACTCTATTTTCATGTTCACGACTTACTTTTATTCAACAATCAACTTATATCGATAACTTTTTATTACATTTCAACTACAAAAACAATTACTTTTAATTACATTTTTACTGTAAAATTAGACATGTGACATGCAATTTAATTTATCCTTTTGCCTCTGTCTTGTCAAAAATAATAAAAATAACAATATGTATCGATGTAATTGTCACACAGTGAAACTCTACTGCGTAATTAACATATTTTATAGCTTCATTTCAGCCTTTTTTCCGTTCCCATCCTTTTATTATAAGAAAGTGATGGGAAGGGAATTGGATGAAAGAAAGTAAAGAGAAATATTATCTTTTATGTAGTCCGGTGTCCGTCGATAAAAAAATATATGTTAGTCTTGAATGCAAGAATAGCTATACGAATGTTACGGTCTATGACCTAGTTGGATACCGTGTCAAACATCAAAGATGCTCTGCCCATACTAACACTTTCACCTACTAACATTCAAATTTAAATCAAAACCAGAACGTAGAAGTCAGTGTTTTGCAATTAATAAACTTATTAAACAAGTAAAGTCTCATTTACTTCGAATTATGAGGTATTAAATAAACTCTATTACAACATAGTCATCGCCCGCGACTCTCTCGAATTAAAAAAAAACATAATTAGTAGTCTATATGTTCTTCCAGGCTATGTTCTGTGTTCAAACATACATCCATCCATCTATAATATTAGTAAGATAATTTTTTAACAAGGTTTTGAAGACAGCTTGAATAATTAGCTTAGCAAAATAAAAAAATCCGCTATGGTTTACAAAATTTGAACTAAAAACCCAACTATGCTTACTCGATAGTATTAAATCTCTATCAATTATACAAAAATTATAAAGGTCGTTACCCACTTGTGCGGACAATTTCGCCGGGCGACCGTTTCGAGGCCGCGATGACGCAACCAAAGGTTGGCTCACACTCCGCTGTTCCGGTCATCCGAGATCGCACGTAACGAGTTGCGTCAAGATAACACGTTTCCATTGCCGTCGACACAAGTTCTGTGGCGATTTATTTTTTTGCACAAACAAATATGACGCTCTCTTACCATCATCAACCTGCCCTTATCCCTATCGAGGGTCGGCACAGCATGTACTACTCCTCCATACATCTCTATCAGCCGTCATATCCGAGTCTACCCCCTTCTTACGCATATCCTCTTTCACACAGTCATTCCATACTTTTTTTGATCTTCCTCTACCCTTGTAGCCATCCACATTCAATCTCATTACTTTTTTGCTTATATCATCATCATCCCTCCTCATAACATGTCCAAACCACGCTAATCTTTTACTCCTCAATTTCTCGATCACTGGCGCTACTTTCAAACTAATATGACGCTCTCTTACCATCAGAAAATATAAAGCATTTTGTACATTACCTTTCTGATCTTTTTTGTATAATACTAGCTGTCGCCCAAGACTCCATCCGCGTGGATATATAAAAAAACGTAAGTAGCCTATATGTTCTTTCAGACTATGTTCTATACGTATGCCAAATTTAATCGAGATCCGTTCAGCCGTTCTAGAGATATCTTCAAACACCCATCCATCCATCCACATCACATCCAACTAAACATTTAGCAGCCTCTTCAAGGCATAAATTCGAAAAAAAAGAATGAATAGTATCCTATGTCCGTCTCCTGGCTCTAAGCTACCTCCTCACCAATTTTCAGCCATATCGGTAAAGCCGTTCTTGAGTTATAAATAGTGTAACTAACACGACGATTTATGAATTTTCTAAGATTTACACATAAATGTAACAATTTAATGCATAATTTTTTTTAATATAAAGTGTGTACTTGACCTAAATAAATGTTATCTGATACGTTCACTCGAGAATTTTGCATAAATAATTATGAAACAGTATATTTTGAACAAAAAAAGATTTGTATAATATTTTGATTTACTTTTGTAAATTAAATTAAGAATAAATATCCAAAAAACATCCTGTATTAATATATATTTTTTCATCATACGATATAAAGTAACCTATAAAAACAAAAACTAATCTTTCCTAATAATATTGTAAATGGGAATGTTTGGATGTATGTAAGTTTGTTATAAGATATCTCCAGAACTCAACGGATCTCCATGTAATTTGGCATAGATGTAGAACATAGTCAGGAGAAACACACTTCTTATTAACTTTTTTAATGCGCACGGACGGAGTCGCCGGTTACAGCTAGTTTAATACAATTTTAAATGATATCCGATTTTGTGTCGACAATAAGGTACAACTGGTAAATCGCACAATCTTACTCACACATGCGCATTCATTAAGCGGCAAATGTGTACACACGTATGTGTGCGTAGAGGAAAGAGTTTTGTGGGACAAGAGACAGGTTCTACTGTCTCCGGAGCTATATGACCCCCTTTCTGTTTCTTATACACAAAAATGTGCAATTTTACAAGATATTCGACTCGCAAATAACAAATGAAATCAGATTTGAATTAATCATTTGTTTTTCTCAACCGACTGAGGATGGTCATATTTTTTTACGCGTAACTGGTGAAATATCCAACCAATGGCCTATTAATTGTAGAGATTAGTGATGCGTCATTCGATCAGTATTCTCCACCTGACTGTCATCGAGATCAGTTGTTCGACTATTTTGGTTTTTTAATTAACAAAAAGAATAAAAAAATTCGGGGCCCTGCACTATTTTTCTTCCCTCCATCTCGTCTAATGTGACGATCCCAATTTCTACAGCCAATATATTCCACTCGTTAAGTCAAACGACATTAGTACGACTGGTCGCAATTGCTATGCGACTATCCGTTTATTATCCGATAATCAAATACTACAAATAAACTACAAAACCTAGTCACCACCATATAAAATATATGAATTATAATTAAATCGGAATTCACAAGTGTACACAAAAAGAATAGTTTCATAGTTTAAAAATAAAAAAAGGACAAAAAACCAAGGTCACATTACTGGCGTTAACACTTTTGCAAAAAAAATGTACCTGTTTTTTTTTCAAAGATAAAACTTATGAGTTTTTGGTGCTGTATTTATGAAACATTTAGTCAAAAACTATTGAAATTTATTTTTGCCGATTTATCGATTTATTTGTATACCTATTGACATCAACGCATGACATCATGACATCATCAGCTCACTATACGTCCCCAGAGGGGCTCGGAGCCTTCCCTAAGTTAAGGGTAATTAGGCCATAGTCAACCACGCTGGCCAAGTGCGGGTTGACTTCACACATATTATTGAATTTCTTTTCAGATATGTGCAGGTTGCATCACGATGTTTACCTTCTCCGTAAGAACGTCGGATAAATGTACATATGTAAATCGAAAAACACATTGGTACATGACGGGATTCGAACCCAGGACCGGCAGATTGCAAGTCAAGTGCTTGACCCCTAAGCCACCGACGCTCCATACCTAACGCATAACCTACCGGAAATGGTTCTACTAACTTCATATCCTAAAGATCTATCAAGTAACTAGATTCCTAACTTGCTTTATGAAAGTTACAATTTTAATTCTTACTAATCTTATTAAGTTAACTTAGGTAGACTATTTTACAATAACTATCTTTAATATTTTTAAAGTAATATTTTGTTTTTATCGAAATTAAGAGTGTGTTATTAAATATGAAAATTATATGAATCGTGTTTCACGTAATGTACGACAGCATATGCAGACGCATTTGGAATTAACAATTTTGGATATCAGGCAATAAGAAATAGAAAAAAAAAATTCAATACAAAAACTGTTTATGAATTTATTACATGTGCTGTTTACACCGAGGAAAATCTTAATTCAAAACTTGTAAAGCAGATAAATATTGTTACGCGTTGTTTAGACTATAAGACAATTATTGCTTTAATTTGTATGCAACAGGCAAGAAGGCTTGCATTGTGTGAATCGACCTTTATACGTTGAAGACATTTCTACGAAGTTACTAATAAAAACCGAAATCACGATTTGACATAATTCCAGAAATATATTTTAATAAACCAACTAACATTTTCATTGTTCACAAGTTTATCCTCGTTCAACCAGTATCACAAATAATTAAATATATATGATTAATATGGTTTATACGAATTTACAAGAACTTAATAAACCTATAAATATTTTCCTTATAAGATGCTAATAAATTACGTCATCAAAACAAATCATGAAATTCAAGCATTCCTTCAATCCTCGTATTACTTTGAGGAGTTTAATTAAATAATCATTATCAGCACTATCGGTCCCACTAAGGGGTTGGGGGCCTACCCTAAGTTAGGGGTGACAAAGCCATAGTCAACCACGCTAGCCCTTAACACATGCAGACGGGACCGCGGACGAGAGCGAAAGCGTGCCCGTGGTCCCGTCCCGATGCGTTGGAGGAACAGAGGGGTTTAGTGGTTATGCCTCCGCTATGTAGGAGAATCCCACATAACTACCGCGTCACCCCCGGGGCGCGGATTATGCATAAAGCATTCCCCTCTGAAAAAAAAAAGAAAAAAAGCCCTTAACACATCACTCTTTGAATCTCTTCCTCAGATTTGTGCAGGTTGCATCACGATGTTTTCCTTCAACATAAAAACATCAGATTAATTTTTATTACCCATCATAAATATATTTACTATACACATCATACAATGGTCAATAAATTAATTTTACACAGTTTTTGTAATCTATAAATTTAATGTCATTTGTTCACAGATTATACGAAAGATGCATTTACATTAGAGAGGGTACGTAGTAAAATCCAAGATGGCGGCGCGTCCCGCCGCCGTGGTCGTGGAGCGCGCCTACAAGTATTATGGCAAGCAGGACAAGCCAGATTACAAGCCGGTACTCAATTACCTCGATATGACAGTCGAGAAAGGGATCATGTGAGTAAATTACTTTTTAGATTTTAAGATAAGATAAGCCTTTATTCGATGACCAGTACATAACTTTTTTTTACTACTTTTTTTTCAAACAGAAAAAATAGAATTATAGCTTTGTTTTCAGCTTCCAGTTGCTTTGGCAGGATGTCCTTCGACATAGGCGTCCCCTAGATTTTTCCATAGTTCCTTGTCCCGGGCTAATCTTTTTTTAGATTAGTTTTTGATAAATACTATTAACAAGACCTTTGGAGTTACCAACAGTTGCAAATGATAGAGAGTTTGTAGAGGCAGCAATCGTTGCAAAAATCGAGTAACTTGGCTGCAAAGGAATGAAAGTTTTTTTATAATTATTTTTCAGGTTTCATTGCCTCCCCTTTTTCCATATTTTATTATGTCTGCTTTCTAGTGAGTTGTCGAGCTTTGACTTATCTATTATATACCATTGTACTATCGTCAACAAAAGTGTCTTATTATTTTATATGAAATAAAAAATTGTATCTAAATTCTTTACAACCTACAGGTTAGTCAGAATCCCTGTCTACCCTCATTTAAATTCTTGTATCAAGTTTACAAGTAGTCGGGTCATAAATGTAGCCGTAAACATATCTTTATAGGTTGGATCTACATTGTCAAATTCCCCTAAATTGAAGAGGAAAATGACATAAATTATAAAACATTATGTTCAACATATTTATAAAAAAAAATGATTCCGCCCATCCACGATCGTCATAGCACTAATAAAATAATAATTGCAATATTATGCTAATAAAAAAATATTTAGAAAAATAATATGTCTTATTTAGAACTGTTTTATACTTCTTCAGGTTTTTACGTCTCATGTTTTCTTAACCTTGGGAAAAAGGTTGACGTATTTACTTCAAAACTGATATATAAACACGGCTAAACACTCACGTATATTCGTCCGGTGGCGGCACCTACTAGTTTCGAGTTACTGGTATTATTTCGCGGACACGGCCCGTCGCTCACTCGGTACTACCACTAAATAATACCAGTACCACTCATCCTCATGAAGGGCCCCCGATGGGCTCGAAACTAGTCGGTGCCGCCACCGGACGAATATACGACAGTGTTTAGCCGTGTTTATATATCAGTTTAGTGTAATGTCTCACGAAAGTTTGAATAATTTAATACTTACTTCAAGTTTTTAAAATATTCACGCTATATAACGTCACTCAATGTAACACATCTGTCCAATTAACCTCCACTCTCTATAACGTTAAAAAATCCTGGGTCCCTTGAGTGAACCTAGGATCTAAGGAACGGCGATTTTTCTCCTGAGTTTCTTGCTTATCCAAGTTAAACTGTATCTTATTGCAATTGAGTCTTTGATGAATAACTTCTATTGTTTCTTGCAGTTACGGCCTTCTGGGTGCCTCGGGTTGTGGAAAGACGACTCTCCTCTCCTGCATAGTGGGTAGACGGTCATTAGACGGAGGAGATGTCTGGGTGTTGGGGGGGAAACCTGGGGAAAAGGGGAGCGGCGTACCTGGACCCAGGGTTGGATATATGCCACAGGTAATTATTAATCTACAGTACATTAACATATTGTTATCTTGTCTGTTTATACCCTCAAAGTACTTGTTTTATTTAAAAAAAAACCCTCTGTCCATAGGACATAGCATTGGTCGCGGAGTTCTCAGTACGAGACGCAGTATTCTACTTTGGTCGTATCTACGGCATGTCAATGAAAAAGTTAGTGGAACGCTTCGACTTCCTAACAAACTTACTGGACTTGCCCAGCGGTGGGCGGTTGATCAAATCGCTGTCTGGAGGTCAACAAAGAAGAGTGTCTTTGGCTGCTGCATTGGTTCACGAACCTGAACTTTTAATTCTGGACGAACCAACAGTCGGTCTGGATCCTGTTCTACGTGAAAGGTTAGTGAATACACAGGTCTGGAGATCGAATTCCAGTTATCTACCCTCTTCCTAACTTATTTTTACAAGTTGAGAAGAGAAAGTAGACTTGGTGGGGAAGGGAAAATACCCTCTTTCTGTTCGTCCCTTCCTTTGTCGTCATAATTAGTTATATAAAAATATCTATATGTTACAGGAGGTTTTTAAAATATTTACACAACGAAAATGTAAAAAACTTTTGTAAGAAATTATTGCCACATTAAAATTACATAAAGCGCAAAATAAGTCACGTTACAATAGAAAAATAATAGTATTTATGATAAAAAAAAAAAAAACGCACGCAAAAAATTGTATACAATCTGTCTTATTTGAATAGAAACAACTTATGTATTTGTTATCTGTAAAAATGATTACAACACGAATTAATAAAAAAAATATCAATCGTCATGTCACTATTCACGTTTTGTAGCAGCACGTGATTTGATGATTAATTTAAAAAAAATCACGATATTATAACCTGTTCGTAGGTTCGGCCAGTTTTTTAACTGTACATAATCTATAAAAACAAATTTATTATTCTTCTATATAACCCACGTCAAACGTGACTTTAAGGAAGATTATAAATCATATTCAAACAAAAATATTTACGTTCCAGAGGACCTATCACGAATATTTACGTCACGCGCATTCGTAACGTCATCGATAAAATATGTCAGAATTTTTATGAGATTTGGTATCGACTGTCGATTATCGTGAATCATATAGTAGTACAAGGATGCCGAACATTTGCGCATCAATTTGTCATTTTTCTAAAGTAATTTTTTATAAAGGTCTTAGAAGTGTTATCAAATTATTTTCATTGCCATTATTGGATATATAATAATTATTTATCTACACAAAACATTTTTAAAATGTCTTAAAATCTCTCCTCATAATACTCTTTTAATATTTTTTTCATTCTGTATAATTCCATGATTTCAGATAAGCCCAAATTATCACATGCAATTGACTCGCAATCCCTATCCTAATAGCACCTTAATTATATTAATTACCAAAAAAAATTAATATAAAAAAATTCATGAACCTACGTCATTACACTCATCAAATAGAACGATTATTAAAAAAAGTAACATTAAATAATATATTTTAATTTACATTAATGAATCATGATTAACATAATGAAGTATTTCTGAATAAGATTTTACAACACCATATCTACATAAATACAAGATATTTTTTTGCCCATAGTGTAATTAATATTTTTTGTTACATTACTTGAAAAATTATTAAACATTTTTTTTCACTTGCTTAATTAGTAGCCTTTTTCTTCCAGACTGTTTTCTACAACTTTTTTTTTCAGAGGGGAATGCTTTATGCATACTCCGCGCCCCGGGGAGGGGGGGACGCGGTAGTTATGTGGGATTCTCCTCCATAGCGGAGGCATACCCACTAAACCCCTCTGTTCCTCCAACGCATCGGGACGGGACCACGGGCACGCTTTCGCTCTCGTCCGCGGCTCACTATTTTCTACAACTATGCTAAATTTTAGCAAGATCCATACAGCTGTTCTGGAGATATCTTTTAACAAACATCCATCCATTAACACATTCGCATTTATAATATTACTAAATATAAATTGAGGAGTAAAAGAATAGCGTGGTTTGAACATGTTATCCTGGGTTCGAATCCCGCCATGTACCAATGTGTTTTTCCATTTCCGATTTACATATGTACAATTTATCCGACGTACTTACGGTGATGGAAAATATCGTGATGCAACCTGCACATATCTGAGAAGAAATTCAAATATATGTGTGAAGTCAACTAACCCGCACTTGGCCAGCGTGGTGGACTATTACCTAATCACTCTTAACTTAGGGTAGGATCCGAGCCCCTCAGTGGGGAGGTATAGTGAGCTGATGATGTACTGATGATGTATGATGATGAAGAAAAAAGTAATGAGATTGAATGTAGAAATATGGAATGACTGTGTGAAAGATATGCGTAGGAAGGGGGTAGATTCGGATATAACGGCTGATAGAGATGTATGGAGAAGTAGTACATACTGTGCCGACCCTCGATAGGGATAAGGGCAGGTTGATGATGATGATTTATAATATTAATAAGATGAAACATATAATTTCGCACTTAATAAAAACCTTATTATTTTCGTCTTCCAAATATCGAAGTCGTAATAACATTTAATTTTTTCTGTGCCAAGGATCTGACAATATTTAAAGAACAATTTAGTAGTGAACCTTCATTGATTTGCAGAACATTAAGAGGGAAAACAAACTTGACCCTATAAAGGAGTAAAGCAAACATGTGGTACAAATATTTCACAATTTAACCAAACATAAACAACCTTTGGAGAGACCGAAAACATTAATAATTATAAAATAAATATACTAAACATACGAACATTACCGCCAGTTTTCACTGCCAAAACATATTATCTTACTTCTTACTTACTAATATTATAAATGCGAATGTTTGGATGGATGGTTGTTGATGAAATTTGGCATACATACAGAATATATTCTGGAAGAACACATAGGCTACTAATTAAGTTTTTTTTTAATCGACAGCTATTATAGACATAATTATATCTCAGTTTTTAAAGAGAGTGAAAATGGTGTCCATATGGTTTTTTTCGACAATGGAAACTTACGGTTATGGTGCACCTATCTAAAAAAAACTATTGAACATCTTTGCATTCACTTTATCATACTAAAAAAATGCGTAGTTATTTGAAAATGAATGCACCTTTACAAAACATTGTTCTTTATCAACGGCGGTAATAAAAAATCAAAATTAACCATTAAATTGTAAAAAAATATATAATTTATTTTTAAATGTTGCCAGCATTGAGAGAGCATAATTTCAAAAAGGTTCTACTTCCAAATGTGCCTAAGGGAAAATTTGTTCTACATTTCTGGATTCGGAGTCATAAAGAAGGCCTTGTGTTCCTTAAAAGCAATTGTTTATGACACCTGTATCTGACCAGATGGTCACTATAATTTGCTTTAAAATAACGTAGTAGTTCGCTTGACGCCATTGCCACATCGCCCAGCAATGATCGTCTTGCAATGCGTTGAGAAACGTAATACGTTTTATATCTTTTTGTTATTCATGACGTCTAACCGATCTTTGCTTAACCCAACTTCAATGCAAGTTTCAAAACTATATTAGGGCAGTTTTGTTTTATTTACATATACAGTATGTGTTAAATTGTGTTCTGCTTTTATGTTGCGTAGACTATTCGTTTATCATATATTACTTCTTCTTCTTAAATGCGAAAGTTTGGATGAACTGATGTTTGTTACAAGGTATCTCCGGAACGGGTCAACGGATCTTAATGAAATTCGGTACGGATGTAGAATATAGTCTGGAAGAACATATAAGCTATTAATTAAGGTTTTATTTAATTCCGTGCGAACAGAGTCGCAGACAACAAGTAATAATTAATATATTTGCAATCATGAAATTGAGTTTAGATTTTAGACGCTACTGTTGAAAACACATATCTGATTTTTTTTAGTACGTCACATTTCTGCAGACAAACTATATTTTCGGTTTAAATTCTACTAGACGTCGCCAGCGACTCCGTCGACGCAAATTAACAAAAATAATTTCACAAATTATCTATGAGTTCTACCAACAGTGGTAGAGCCCGCTTTAACATCTTCGCACGAATTGTCCCGGCTCGCCCGGTGAAATACCACGACCGCTCAGAAGACAGGCGTCAATTCCGCGTTTCGTCTGATGAGTGTGCGTCCCGGAGGCCTAATTTAGTCCTCTTTCCCTTCCCACCCTTTTTCTTATAAGGAAAAGATGGGAAGTGGAAGTGGACTTTACGGATGCATGGGAAGGGAGAATATTTTCTTTCGGTGCATCCTCTCCTCCGTCGATTAAAGGTAGGCAACGCATATGCAACTGCGTATGTCTATGGGCAACGGTCACTTCGCTATTTTAGCGATTTCAGGTGGCCGCTCGCTCGTTTGCCACTTTATGATATAAAAAAGATAAAATAGCTGTAACATTTGGGTAATTCATTTCTCAATATTATGTTTATTGTTCCCGCAGTTATTAATCTTTAGCTACTTACTATCTAAGTGTTTATACAATGTCCAATCTGGAATTGCAGCAACAGAACATCGCATGTTGCTACCGTGTTATTATTGAAATCAAAATGGCGCCTGTCACGCGATGTCGGAAGGAAATAATTTATGTTTTACAACTCATTGTCATTCTCAATACTTTGTATATTGTTTAATCATGTTGAGAAATAATCGCGATTTGTAATTGTTTCATAATATTATTTCATTTTTATGCAAATAAACTAGCAGTCGCTCTCGACTTCGTCAACGTATAATTTAAAAAGGAGCCTATAACCTCGTGCATCAGCCACCTTCCTGCCAAAGTCTGGTCAAAATCGAATCAGCCGTTCCGAAGATTGCCTGACACAAACGCGCCTTTACAGACAGAAATGTTTTTTATCGATATTACAAACAGACACTCAATTTTATATATATGTACAGCACTTAATGACACATTTTTTTCACAACACAAAAATTTTAAAAACCAATATTTGCCTCATTATTTTTGGCAACCCTATCGCTATGTTTGCAACAAAACAAAACTAAATCTAGCCCCTTCCTTTTCGTTATCATTAAGTTCTTTGAATAATGATGACAAAATTAAACGGTTATTACGTTGCATTAATTTTCAGGATCTGGGACTTCCTTGCCGAGCTGGCCAAGGGTGGCACCACCGTTATCATCACGACACATTATATCGATGAAACGAAACAAGCTCATAAAGTAAGAATTTCACAGAATTTTACTCCGTTTGAGTTTATATTTCATGATTGACACTTCACATCACTAACAGACTATTTTCCACTAGAGCTGAAAGCTTTTTTTTGTAACTGAGTGGTCAGTGTTTGCCTTGAAGAGGCATTTACATCTTCAACCCGCTTGAGGTGGCTGAGAGCAGATGGCACTTAGCCTGAACCTCGTTTAAGAGTAACAAGACTTGAGGGCTCGACTCGGGCTGTTATTTCGTTGTTACCAGATTGGAGCTGAAAGCTGTGTTGGTTTTGGTCATGTGCAAATCACCAAGATCCAGCTATTTCTATTATCAATGTTCTCTGTTGTACCATCTTCTCTGACGCGTCTGTCTCCCGTCTCCTGTAAATAGCAATCGCGAAGTGCCACAATGTAAATAAATTTATTACAAAAATTAAGCTCCTCGGTGAGGACGTATAACTGATGATGATTACATCGTTATATATGGTTATTTTCTCTCTAAATAGTTATCAAGCAATGTACCCGAAAAGTTTGAAATTATGTATTTACTTTAGCAAGGTAAAATAATGTTTTTTTTGTTTTCACTTCCAGATTGGTCTACTCCGTGACGGTCAACTGTTAGCGGAAGACTCTCCAAGTGAGATCCTACGCAAATACAACTGTGATACATTAGAAGATGCATTCCTCAAGATGGCGCTGCGACAACACGAAGTTACCAATAGGAGACGTTCGAGTAAGCTTATTGTCCTTTTTTATATATCATAAGGTGGCAAACGAGTGAGCGGCTATTTGAAATCGCGGAAATAGCGAAGTGACCGTTGCCGTAGACATATGCAATTGCATATGCGTTGCCTACCTTTAATCGACGGAGGAGAGGATGCACAGAAATAAAATATTTTCCTTTCCCATACATCCCCTCTTCCAGAAAGTTCACTTCCACTTCCAATCATTTTCCTTATAAGAAAAACGGTTGGAAGGGAAAGAGGACAAATTTTTAATCAGAATTAATGACTACTTATCAGTCCAATAGTTGTTTACATTACAAGCCTAAATTTAAAGTCATAGACACTACTTATTACTTATTACTTACTTATTTTAACTTGTATATATAACCGTGTAAAAGTGGGTTTAAATGGTATTTTGTTTGGTAAATGACAACACTAAGGGAATTTAGGTACGCATCAATTAACCCGTGCTGGTCGCACCGCTATCACCGTTACGCGACGTGCGGTGCTTCCGTCGCGGGATAATTAACGCGTACCTTAAATTTCATAGGTGTTTGTTAGAAGGTATCTCAAAGCTTCATGGATCTTGCTAAAATCAACGTGAAAGACAGGTGTGGAAACATGCTATAATTTCCTTTATATTTCAGCTCTAACGTCATCACCGGATGTGATCCCGGAGAGCAGCATTGCAAGTAATCCAGACAGCCGCTACCAGTCGCGAGACGACTTCAATATTGTCACCAGCAGTACTGATGTAAGTATTACTATTTTTTTTTATTTCACAAAGTGGTAAACAAGCAAGCGGCCACCTGAAGTAGCGAAGTTACCGATGCCCATAGACATACGCAATTGCATATGCGCCGCCTACCTTTAATCGACGGAGGAGAGGATGCACAGAAAGATAGTATTTTCCCTTCTCATGCATCCTCTCATTCGGAAAGTCCACTTCCGCTTCCCATCCTTTCCTTATAAGAAAAGGGTGGGAAGTGAAAGAGGATTAAATTAGACCTCCGGGACGCACATTCATCAGACGAAACGCGGAATAGCTTCCACTTGACGCCTGTCTTCTGTGTGTTCGTGGTATTTCACCGGGCGAGCCGGGACAATTCCTGCGAAAATGTTAAAGCGGGCTCTACCACTGTTAAACTGCACCTTATTTCAAGTTAATGTCGTACTGTGTTTGGGTTTCTGAGACCAAAATCATTGTATGAAACATATCATCAAACATCAGACAAAACTAAGATAACAGTATGTTTATACGAAGATTTCGGTCTCAAAAACTCACGGTTAATTATGCAAATGTACTACGTAATTCGTAATTTTACAGATGCTCAATACCAAAGAAAAACCATCAAATTGTTCAAGTAAATCCAAAGCGAGGTATAGAGCTGTCTTTATTAAAAGTATTCAGCAATTTTCAAGACATCCTGGGTAAGTAAATTCATATACATATAGATTTCAAACTTCAAATAAACTTTAAAATATGGCACAACTTTTGGACTCCGGATTACGTCATTAGGTAAAATTTCTAATCATCTATATTCTTTTTTTTTGACACCTATTTTCTACTATTATTTTTAACTAGCAATCCAAGCGACTCCGTTCAAATAAAGTTCAATAGTAGACTATGTGTTCTTCCAGACTATGTTCTACATGTATGACAAATTTCAGCGAAATCCATGCAGCAGTTCTTGAGATATCTTCTAACAAACATCCATCTAAACATTCGCATTTATAATATTAGTAAGATATAATTATTATATTTGGATTTGTATCAGAAAAAAAGATACACAAAGCCTTCCTAAAATGTTTTAATGAATAAAGGAGCACATGACGTTAGCTTTATTTAGAAAATCGCGCCATAACCATGTCACGTTTCCCGCCAAATTGGTCAGCGTTAGACGTGATCTGATTATCTATACATATTCATATTAATAGAACCGAAGCGTCTGTATGTAATATAAAAAAAAATATTTCTTACACCAGACGCTTGCCTTGCTGATAACGAAGAATCAATTTTAATTTTGTCTCTTTGTCTATCTGCAAAGCTGCGTTTGTTCTGGGTATCTCCGGAACAATGCACACGGGAATGTTATGACCTACTTTTTCATCTTTAATTTTGCGTTGACGGAGTCACGAGCGACCTCTAGTTTAAAAAATATATTTATTAAGATATACTACGCGTCGTTCGTTTCAGTGCTAAAGTCATTTTTTTTTTTTCTTTTAATACACAAACCTAATGTTGATAGAAAATTTCATTAAAATGTTTCTAGTCGTTTAACCGTTGGTTTCTGAGACTAAAATCTCTGTATAAAACATATCGTCGTCCCAACAATTTTGATATAAGAAATCCAAGGTCATTAACCTGCCCTTATCCCTATCATGGGTCGGCACAGTATGTACTCCTCCATACATCTCTATCAGCCGTCATATCCGAGTCTACCGCCTTCCTACGCAAATCCTCTTTCACACAGTCATTCCATCCTTTTTTTAAGGTAAGATATCAAAAGTGAGGAATGTGAGTTTTGATTTATAAAACGATAAGAATTACATATTTTGTGACACTATTTATTTTTACATCGAACTTTAAATAACAGCAGTACAATGTTTAGAATATTATTTGACTGTATCTTTGATTTTAAACCTTTCTTTTTATTTTATAAGTAGATGTCTTTTTAATATTATAAATACGAAAGTCTAGACCTAGATGGGATGGTTTAGGAATAATTTGCATACATCACGTACGCTGCATTATGCATTTCAAACGCGTCAAATAGTGAAAGAGTGACTATAATATTTTGACATATGTCAAAGTACACGATGTTGTTATTAATTATATTACTAATTAAAATTGCACACACTCTTACACATCTGATTACTAATTAAAATTACTTTCATTTAACTCGTGGTTATTTATATTTTATTGAATTAAAATTTTGAAATAACATAACCAACACACATAGAAATCATAAATTGAATTTTAAAAATGAAAACTAGATGGCGCTGTTTTCAATCTTACAAATAAAATTAAAAATGCTAATCTTTGGATTTATGGATGGATGGGTGGATGTTTGTTAGAAGATATCGCCAGAATGGCTACATGGACATCTCTTAAATTTTTCATAAATGTTAAACATAATCTAGAAGAACATATACTCTACTAAAGAAGTTTTTTATTCGGCGCAGACGGAGTGGCAGGCGGCAGCTAGGTCTTAAATAAATCTGTTTATTTACTAACCTGAACTATATTTTAAACTTATTACAGGGGCTTAATATTCTCAGTACTGTTTCCCATCATACAAGCGGTTGCCTTCTTCATGGCAGTCGGCAGCGACCCGCGCGACTTGCACGTCGCTGTTGTTAACGAGGAAGCGGCTTCCTCACCATGTAAGTGTACTCTAACTCTGATTCAGTTGATTACTGTAGGGTTTCACTGCCCTAATTTCTACGGATATCTGGCATGTTAAAGGCTATATGTTTGCACAGTGGGTTTAGTACGTATATTTGTGTCAATCACCTGTTTCGTCACCCACAATTATGTCCAAATTACTGTACGTTTCTGAGACCAACATATCCATTTAAAACATATTGTTATATATATCTTGTCAATGATATGTCGATATGTTTTATACAGAGATTTAGGTCTCAGAAACTCACGGTTAGTATTAAATTTTTGATGTACTATACGCCTTATATTGTGCACAAATTTTTATACTTTATCCCTGAAGATACAATGACGATTGTCACAAATTTTCTTGGTAAGCCCACAAACACACATACAAATATTCTGTTTCATACAATCTATTACTACTGTTAGGAAGAAATCCCACACTGTGCCGGTGTAATGGCTCAATATTAACCTTACTAAAATCAACGTTGTCCCCTCACTAATCAATCTGACACTTGATTTTGTAACGAAAGCACGCCATTCGCGACACAGTATTGTAACTAATAATGTCTAAAACTACTTCCTACTTACTAAATTTCTTTCATAACAATAACCTTAATAAATACTAAACCATATGTTTAGAAAGTCTAAGGATAACGCTAATATATTTTAGTTTATGGAATCCATAGAGAAAAAAGAATATTCAACATTTAAATTAAAAAAAGTCAAGTTTACTTATCTGTATTTCCATTCAGACGGTCTAGATATTTGCAAGAACAGTAGCTTGGTGACTGTGATACGACATGATGATGATACCTGCGACCAGTATATGCTGAGCTGCTGGTTCTTAGAGGAAATGGAGAAACGAAGACTCTTTCAGGTATGGACAATCACTTTTAGTAAACATTACTAATACAATAACGTTTAATTTACAAAAAAGCAATCGTAAACAAATCTAAGAAAAAACGTGTATGTATTTTTGTTACCGATAAAATATATTTAAAAAAACGGCATGCACAAAAGAAATCTTTCAATATCAGGGTCCTGTTATGGTTTGTTAACAATGGGTTACTGAGTCCGAAAACTCCATTTAAAACATTGTTACCCTTGTGTCATAGATAATGTCAGGAATGACTATACTTTTTTATATAGAGATTTTGAGCTCAGAAGCCCATAGTAAGTAAAAGTAATAATAGTTCTTAGTACCGCCAATTTTTAACAATCATCAATACAGTGTAACCAAGAATATATAAAACTGGTGAGCTTCAATCTTATTCTTTACTAGTTGAGCTTGCGACATCGTCCGCGTTAAATGCTGTCTTCAAGCTACGCGGTACTAGACTTATAATATATATAATTAAAACAAAACTTAGTAATTAGCCTATGTGTTTTTTCAGACTATGTTCTACATTTAAGTCAAATTTCAGCTAGATCTATGCAACCGTTCTGGAGATATCTTCTCACAAACACAAACATTCATCCATCTTAGCTTTCGAATTTATAATATTAGTAAGATAATAGGATTAGAAGAAATTCAAAGATATGTGTGAAGTCAACCCGCACTGGGCCAGCGTGGTTGACTATGGCCTAATCACCCTTAAATTAGGGTAAGCGCCGAGACCCTTAGTGGGAACGTATAGTGAGCTGATGATGATGATAATGATGAATAGGATTAGTATAAGATTTTTAATGCACCTCAAGCCTGATTTCACACAAGTTTACATACAAATGTTGTCGATTACGATACGATGATTTATGACAAATATTCGGTGCTAGGCTGCCATTTACCTTTCTATATGTATTTTAGACAGGTCGACGCTGCGTAGGTAGGCCTCCCGCACGATGGACCGATGGCCTGGTTAAGGTTGCGGGAGTGCACTGGATGCGGGCAGCATATGACCGGGCATGATATAAAGCAATCGATGGGGGAGGCCTACGTCCAGCAGTGGATAAATCTGAGCTGATTATGATGATGATGATGATTTATTTTAATCTACCAGGTACCATACAACAGCACAACACACGGAAAGCGCGCTCTAGCGACACGCAAGACATACGCTGTACTACACTTCGCGCAAAACTTTAGCAGTGCTCTGGGCGCGCGTGTGCGTGATGGCGACGTGCCCGATGATATACTGCAGGACAGCATTGTTAGTGTGTGGTTGGATACTGCCGGTATGAAACTTTGTTACCCAAATATCTGTATAAAAACATGTACAATGATGGTTAAATGTCTTGTACTTTCAGCATTGAAAACATAAATTTGATTTGTTCTTTCTTTTTATGCTTGTTGTTTCTTTTGTATATTTTTTTTGTTTTTAAGAATGTTTGTTTACATTATTTTATATATGTAGTCAAGCGGTTATCTTATCCATCTAGCTGATTTTTATAATTATTTGATTATAAATATTTTCAAATAACTCTGCTGTTAACTTCTTGTGAATCGGTGCGCAGAATATTGGGTTTATTGGGGCACTGAGCCGCGTCACCTTGCGCAGCCAAAATATTTTTAAACAGTTATAATTCCACCCTTGAAACAGTTGTTTTAATATTTTCTTTACTTATTTGTTCCAGACTATCAGATATCCAATTTCATTAAGATGCAGCTACACAAAGCTTACGAACAGTTCACGAGACGCGCTATGGCCGCATGTGGACTCAACGAGGACCTTGTACAGGTTATATAACTGAATACTAGCTTCTTCCCGCGACATTCACGTTCACTTTCATATAGAAATCGACGTATAAAGACAACAGTGATTTTAATTTCTTATATTTTTAGATTCCCGTTCGCTTTGAAGAGCCAGTCTATGGATCAAAGGAGGCCCAAATGGTTGGTTTTATGGCACCCGGCATTATGATCACGTAAGTATTAAAATAGAATGGAACATAAGATTTTTTTATTTATTATAAGGTGGGAAAAACACGAAGCGGTCATCTTAATTCGCCAAATTGGCGAAGTGACCGCTGTCCACAGAAAGTGAATATCTCCTTCCTATGCGTCCCCTTCCTCCATCTTATTCTTTGCGGGTCGCAAATCTCCTTTAGTGTACACAATCGTAATGGCATTAAACTTGTTAATGTTGCAGTATAATTTTCTTCCTGCCGGCCATTGTAACATCAACATTGATGATATCTGACCGGCTGGAGGGTGTGTGGGAGCGCAGCGCAGTGGCGGGCGTGCGCGCCAGAGAGATGCTGAACGTGCACTGCGCGCTGCAATCTGTTGTTATACTGATGCAGGTGTGATATACTATGTTTTAGATTACATTTACTGCTTACTATGTCTAGAATAACACTGTATATAGAAATATAACCAATATGAACGCAATGTAAATAAAAATGATATCACAAACAATAAAAATCACTATTAAATTGAGCTACAAATGCCGAAAAGCTCATTAAAACATATTGTCCTTTTCAACAGTGTTACATAAACGTTTAACATTTTCACTGCTGTTGGGGACAAATAAGCTCATATGACAAGCAGTCAGCTCCAAAGGTTTCTAATTATAAATTATTTCCAGACCCTAGAGATGATGGCACTGGCGTTCTGGGGCTATAGTTTGCCGTCACGCGGTTCGCTACTAGCATGTGGCGCGCTGCTGTTCCTGCAGGGCCTCAGCGGCATGTGCTACGGCTTCCTGCTCTCAGTGCTCTGCTCCAGTTACACTGTCTCCTTCTTTGTGGCTACAGGAAGCTTCTATCCTATGATACTGTTGTGCGGTAAGTCAGTTTACATACATCCCCACTTAAAGACAGAGCCTATCCTACGTGAGGGGTGATCAGACCTTAGGCCTTGTAAACATTGGTTACAGTCCATTGCCAAATCTAGTGATTCCAGTGGTCCAGGTAAACTTCTTAGGGTCCGCGAAGTTCTAGCAGCGTCGTAAGGAAAGTAAAGTTGAGGATTTCCCAAGTCACTTATCGTAGACTTACTTCTTTGACTCGTTCAGTATCACTGACTTACCTGATTCACTGATGAATATCTACAAAACAATTGTAGTGGCATGGAACGTGTTGAATAACTCCCAAACAGAACCACCTTCACGGTTCACTTTAATGCAAAAATCATCGTAGCAATTAAATGATAATATTCGCAGGTATCCTCTGGCCTTTAGAAGGTATGTCAGCTGGGTTAAGAGCAGTCGCATTGGCTCTGCCCTTCACTGTACCTTCCAAATCTCTGAGAGACATCATGGAGAAAGGATCCTCAATAACAGATGCCGCTGTCTACAATGGCTTCCTCATCACAATGGCGTGGATAGTCGTAACAATTAGCTTATGTTTCCTTAGACTTAAATATAAGAAAACGTAGTTTTATTTCTTATTGTACGCTCAACCGGGTAGCTTGTATATAGCTTTTATATTTGGTAAAGTTTTTTTGTATATTCACATGATTTAATTAATTGTAGAAATTAGAAATAATATTACTATTTTAAGTACTGTTTCGAAATTTAATCGAAGTTTCGTCGTAATGGAGAGAAACTGAAAGCTCTATGTAGATGGCGCCAGAGTCAACAGTCCGGTGTCATGTCAGCTTTTATACATAATTCTTAGAGATTTTAAAAACCTGATAGAATTGCATTTTTGTTCTATTAATAATTTTTGAACTAATTAAAAAATACTTTTTATTTTCAAAAGTAATTTAGTTGCTATGACTAAAGTTCATAGTGTTTTTTAAACAAAGTATTATTTGTATGTCTGTGGTACATTTACTGAGGGTTTCTGACACAAAAATCTCTGTATAAAACATATCGTCTCTAGATAGAGGATTTTGATCATAGATTTTGGTCTCGGAAACCCACGGTTAGTCCTACAGTCACTCTTGACCGTGCTGCCATCTATAGTGAGGAATAAGCAGCTTATTGGAAAGAAGCAAACATGACTTTATTACGAAGTTTATTATTTCTTTAGAAATGTCTTTTATACCGATTTATTTAAAGACGAAACATAGGTTATTTAAATATTTTTATACGAGAATTTTTATCTTTAAAATATATTGTATATTTACGCATTTATATTAAAAATTCATTCCAATCAAAAAGTTTGAATGCAATAAAGTAGAAGAAAATTGGTCGATGAAAAAGAACTTTTTGGTTGGTTTTAACTATTTTTTTAGCACTTGTAAATATCATTCGCGTAATTTTATTTGCTCAAAATTTTTATTGTGATGAACTTGAGTTACCATACCTTTAATTTCTTATCTTTAGTGCATACATTTACGAATTTTTTTATAAACAAATATCCAGAAAAAGTATACTAAACTTGTTAAAAAAAACTATTAAAAAATGGTTGTGATTTCAGTGAAATACGTCCTTTTGTGTTGAGGCGTTTACATCCTCACATAATTTTAAAAATAATCAATTTTTAGAAAAAAACTGGTTTCTATCGTGGACTTCCGCGATAACATTTATCATTATTTTTTTAAGATTAGTTACTTTAGAGGAATCACTGTATAACCTAAACATGTATATGGATCAGGGCATCTGAGATGCGTGTGATTTTTGGGTATTTATAAAATATTTTTTTTATACAAAAACATTTAGTTTTATTTCCAATTCCGCCTTAAAACCGTAAATAAAACAACTATTCAGATATAAAAATTTATATTATAGGAAATATTTTGGATTCAACAACAACTTTCCTTCCTTGCGAACCCGCGCGCCCCACTACCGCCATGGCACATACAAAAGTCGTACAGATTATAAATATACTTATTACAAATGGAAATTAAAAACTTATGAACAAAGCAACTGAAATACATTAAGTACACGTTTACATAACAATTTAAAAAAAAATTGCAGAACAAAATACATAAAAATTACTAATATTGCTTTTACGGATCACTCGTTATGCCAATTTGAACCTTAATACAAGTTAGTTGAGGTTGTAAATGCATTGACAAAGGTTGCAAAACTTATATAATCATTTTCCTTATCAAAAAGACAATACTTTCAACTCTTCCTCGTTATTTAAAACCAATTATATTAATCAATATTAAGCATGCTAGTTCGACTCATTTTGGTGCATGGCATTTAAAATGGATCTTATGAGTGCATAACAAAGGATCCCAAGGCGAAGCTGCATGACACCACGCACCAAAATGTGTCAAAGTTTAATTAAAAAAAGGCGAGGGCGCGCCGGATTTCGTCTCCATAATTCGTTGTCATCTACCCACTCGAGGTTCTCCCTGCGACCATATCACATTGAAGCCAAACTCATTGTTCCCTCGACGTAGGTAAAGAAAAAAAAACTGCATTATTTTTTTTATTTGCCGCGTTCGGTTTTCGCCTATCTACGACCTAAACTTAAATAAGAATCGCTCTCCAACCACACAACAGCCGTCTCACTCTAACACGCCGTCTTTTAACTACATACAGAGCTCGCATCTCACTCACACCTGGGGTCAAAGTCAATTCCGAACAAATAAAAATCACCTCTCAAATATTTGCTTCCGAAGCAAATCGTAACTTTAGCTTGCGAAGGCATATTTTGATAATTATCACACATTTATCACTAACATTTTTCTATCGGCCAATAGCATCGTGTACGCTAACTAGCGGGGGAATTGACTGGGCCCCTTACAAAGTATGAAAAAAAAAAAATAATAAAAAAACTAAAACTCAACACATCCTATACAAAAAAAAATCATTAACATCAAAAATGTCACCGAGATTTTTTTTAATACGACTCAGCGCTATTGTTACTATCGAAAAATTGATTTATTCTTTTACATAAAATGTTGAAAGTAATTATTATGGACGTACAGCCTTGTTTAGGCAAAACTACATAATGTTTATACAAAACTCAACAAAAGGCGACTAAAAAACATCCTCACAATATCTGCAAACATAATTTTACATAAGCTTTACACAATTAAAGTACAAATATATATATGTGTGTATATATAACTGTACAATAACGGGTATTTCCCCTTGGACCGATCAGCCTATAGATCAATCGATGCAATGGTATTTTCCCTTTGGGCCGAAGGAATCGGACTAATGGAATTTTTATTCTATAGACTCAACAGCCCAACGGAAAAAAAAGTATTCCCTTGATTCTTATCAATCAGCCCAATGGGAATTTTATTCCCTATTTGATTTATCTGTAGGTCGATCCGCCCAACGGGAAACACCCACAGTAACATATGTGTTGTGACAAAATATTCTATATTTATATTTGTTGAGGCCTCTCCATTCTTTCACTGTATTTACAAATTTTTTATCATTATTTTTTTTTAAAGAGAAGCATTAAAAGATAAAAAGAAAACTTAATCACAAACGAACGAATTTAATTCCGTCGCAGTAAGTATTGTATGCCCGATGAATCCCATTTGATAGTACGAATGAATAATCGATATAGTGACAAAAATCGATGTTACAATGTATGAAGCATCACAACATCGATACTGTCCGATTAATGTTACAAATTTATGAAATATCAATCTGTTTTACATTGAGTTTTTATTTAATTATTTACATTTAATACAGCTTTTTAATTTCAAATTTTACAACTGATAAAAGAAACATCGATATTGATTCATCTGAAATCGATTTTTTGTGTATCGATAAACATTTAACAATTATATTTTTGATCGACAATCGAATCGACGTTGCCATCTTTTTAATATCCCTATGTGTTGGAAAAAACATTTTAGGCAAACAGTTCATGTGACATTCAAACGTCCTTTCTATGAGTTTCCACTGCCGTAACATGTTATGACATTGTTGTCGATACAAGTTTCACTACAGTGGAAACTCAGATACACTAATCCGTTAAACTTCAGATATGAAATTGTAAAGCTTAAACCATAAATGTTAAAAAAAAATGAAAGAACTAACAACTAAGCTATTTGTAATTTGCTACGTATTTCGGTGGTTTAAAACATAACTGGTAACTTAAATCGATGGACAAATTAGAAAAAAAATAAAGAAATTATCAAGAAATGTTTTTTTACTGTACCAAAACGTATTTTACACTATTTAATCATTGTTTTTATTTTTCTTTTTAGTATTATTTGTTCTTGATATAATAAATGTAGAAAAATAAAAATGAATGTGTTTTTGCATAACTAAACTATTGATGTGTTCTATCAAATAGTTTAGTAACTATTCGCAAAGTTTCGGTTTCCAAATGTATTAAAATAAAAAAAAATCTAAAATACTTCGGACATTACCACTTTTGTTTACAAATGAAATTAATGATGAAAATCATAATGATTGAATTATTCAAACTTTCGTGAGACATTATACTAAACTGATATATAAATTGATAAGTAAAGAGTGAGCTGAGAGCCTTGTCCGCGAAATAATACCAGTACCACTCACACTGATGAAGGGCCCCCGATGGGCTCGAAACTAGTCGGTGCCGCCACCGGAAGTATATACGTGAGTGTTTAGCCGTGTTTATATATCAGTTTAGTATAATGATTGAGATCAACTAATTAAAGTTATATTTTAAAATACTATACTCCAGCGGATCTCAAACATTTGGGTCACAAAACCCCTTTGAGAAGAATATTTGAAGGATTCATACTGCGTTTGATTATTCTAGGGCTGGAGGTTCCTATTTTTCAAACATATAAAATATATATGACATAATAGAAAACTGATTTTATGTTTGTGCGTACGATAATTAATTACTTTATAATTATAAAAAAACATATGTTGCGTTCAGAATTACATAAATACAAATAATTTTATATGTATTTATTCATTTTAAAAACATAAAATCTAAATATTAAACAGCTAAATTTAAAACCACCGAACACGTCGAGCAAGACGTCAACTTAAACAAACAAGAGACATAAAAAAACCTCGCGAACCACAAAAAGGTTCGCGAGGCATTCAAAAGGTACACATAATAAATAGTAGTACAACAAAAACACTACATACATTGTAAGGCACGGACCCCCCCCACATACACACAGCCTCCCCCCCCTTACGTATACAACCTCGAGTCGCTTCACACAGCCACGTGTATGTATGACCATGATCTTCACTAATGTTACCTGCAACAAATTACATTCATCTTTATTGTTAAGAAGAAAATCCGACACTGTGCCGGTGTAGTGGCGCAACACTAGCCTTATCGACGTCCCCTCCCTAATCATTCTGACGCTTGACTTAATAATTATAATTGGAAGATCTTCAAAAAAAAACTATATAGACCCTAATTTTTATAATGTTTGTCTGTCTGTATGTCCAAAAGCCACATTTGTTCCAAGTAATATGGAATGGGTCCGGTCTTTAAAGGGATGATAGCTGATGCACGTTGGAATATTATAGACTACTATTTCTAAAGGTCGCGGGCCGACCACTAGTTATGGTATAATATAGTATTATACAAATATCTTGGCGGCTCGGAAGTTGAATCGTCAAGATATATGAAAAATATTATACCATTTTGTCAGTGGTAATGAGTATGTAGTTACCTATATGTGTGGTTGGCGGGCCGCTAGAACTTGTCCTGGAATATGAAGAGGTTGTTGGTGGCAGCGACGGCGATGACACTCTCGTGCGGATGCCACGCCGTGTGCAGGATCTTCTTGTTGAAGTCCAGGCAGTCTACACTTATCTCATCCTGAAAAATTAAAATACAATAGTGTGATGGTCGTTCTTTTTTACTAAAACGAAAAAATCTGTTCTTACTTTCTATTTTAATATTAATATATTTCACTTCACTCTTACGCTTTTATTATAAATTTTATAATGAATTTATTTTTAATGTTTTATTATAATGAATTAAATTTTATCTTATTTATTCTTCTCTTATGAAAGTTGTCATATGTACACTAAGACTACTCGGAAAGACATTAATTAATGATTAGTTTTTAACCTTCTTCCTCTTGGCGGTGGTAGCGACGCGGCGCGCACGCAGCGGCTGCCGGGGACGTGCGGCGGCGTCACGCGACGCCTCCAGTGTGAGCTCGCCGCGCCGCGCCGCCGCGCCCGCACCCCCCGCACCCGCA